CCCATCCCTGGGAACATTCCAGGCCAGGTTGGATGGGGCTGTGAGCAACCTGATCTGGTTAGGGGTGTCCCTGCTCCTGCAGGGGGGTTGGACTAGATGACCTCTAGGGGTCCCTTCCAACCCCAAACATTCTATGATTCTATGATTTTATGACTCAAACGAGTGGAGAATCAAGCGTGTGTGCTCAGGGGAAAAAAAGCAGATAAGCTTGTATGGAAATAAGATCACCTCTCTGATTCTTCTTGATACACTGTGAAAAGAAAACTGCTGTCAGGTTGTTGAGAACAAGCCACTAGGACAAATGGCCAGTACCGCTTGTTTATTTTAAACAGATGCCCTCTACCATCATTTCAAAATGAGGAAGATAATCCTGTCTGTTCAGCCTTCTGTGAACAGTGGTTTAGACACCCCGCTGCACTATAATGTTAAAATAAGTTGCTATCACATATCTTTCTCAATTAACACTATTGCACAGATATCCCAAGGCAAGGCTACTTGGAAACACCTATTTAATGAATATATTCTTACATATACTTCCAAGTAATCACATTTTCCACTAAGTACAACTTCACATACACCAATCCTGTCTGGGGAATTTCTGCTCCTAAGAAACACTCTGTGAAACCTAATGCCAGGATGCCAACACACTACATCGCGGACGCTCAGCCTCCTCCCAAATCAGATGTAATGCAAGTCACATCAACTTCTGTTAGCAGAGGTGGACTCATACATGTCATCAGGTGTCCCAGCAAGACGCCCTGCACAGTTGCTAACCCTGCCCTGTTGCCCTTCAGAGCTTAGGGCTGGCAAAAATGAGCTGGAATAAGTGAAATCTGCACTAGAAATAAGCTGCGGGCAAAGTCTCTGCATCAGTCAAAGCAGTTCTGGTACAGCCGTGGCCGATCAGTAATCATGAAATTGTTGCCAACTCACAGTCTACTCCAAGCTCAATGGAGCCATTAGCTAGCCCACAAATAGAGCGTTATTTCTGGTGATCTTCATCAGGCACATGAGAAAACAGGAAAAACGTGGTGCTTCAAAATAAAACAAGGCAGAGGGGATAGCCTGAGACTGGACCAACATCTTGCTAATCTGGATGATGTTTTTGAGGATTTTTTCTAGTTTTGACAGTGGATCCTACATGCCAGGAATGAGAATAGTTATTTATCTGAACACGTGAGGAGAATAACTTTGCTCAAGCTAAAGATGCTGATTTTTCTTAAGCAGAAGACAAGAAAAAAAGTCTCTGACCCAGCATGTGAAGTTAACAGTGAAATGAGAGCATCAGGAAGAAAGTAAAGGAAATAACACACAGTTGGTTCAGCTGAAATAAAAGCTAGTTCAGTGGCTGAATGGCACTAACTCTTTCAAAGATTTGTACATTGTAAATGCATGGCTTCATTAGCAACATATGCACCACCCAAATACATAAATAAGGTGTCCTGCCTCTCCTCCTTACTCTGGCTCAGTCCTAGATTAGGATGCTGAAGTTGTAAATTCCAGAGGAGAATGCTTTGGGTCCATAAATAAACCCGTGGGTTTGGTGTGATAGTAACAGCAGAGCACTCACAACGGCACGACAACCAAACTTGGAGGCCACCTGGAAGTTTGTCACAGCTGTTGTTTACTACAGATCTTTGCAGAAAAAAAAATCAACTCAATGGGGGGGGAGGGAGCTGAGAGTACGAAGTCGGAGGAAGCACGCTGGAGGGGCAGAGGGCACTGAGGAGCCTGGGCAGACCTTGTCTCGCAAAGATAAATCAAAAATATTAATTTATTTCTTTCAATAATACTTCACTTTTGCATCCATTTCAAGGCCTCGTTTCTTTATGACAGCTCCCACGTTTAGGAATGAAGTCCTCCGGTCTCTCAGAAAACCATCCCTGTATCACCCATTTAGGCAATGCCCATATCCTCTTTGGGAGCTGACATCATCCCACCCTCTTACCCTTGATTATTCACCAGAAAATAAAGCAAACTCTTAATCAACTCCTCATGTAAAAATCTAAATGCTTAACGAGTATGGCATTGTCATATGAAATTACAAGGTCAATTCAAACTTCCAGCATCTTTCCTCCCCTCTGCCTGACCCTATGTTCTACAACAGCTACAGCCATGTCTTCACTCCCAAGTCAACCAAGCACGCAACCGGCACGTGGCTCTATGGGAAACACTCTGGGTTTTCTCCAGTCAGAACTGAACTAGGTGGGATTCTTACTAGAATTTCTGGAGAAGAACTGGTTAACATCTCCTTTCTCCATTTTGCATTTACTAATTATCACTTCATTTAGCGCTTATATTAGTGCAACAAAAAGCAGCTGTCAGGCCAAGCATGCTCAGTCCAAGTGACCTTGTGTTCTTGTTCATGTTTACCACATAATCAGCAGGGAATTCCATTTTCAGAATACAAGACTTCATAATCCATTAGCACTAGAGATTGGTCCAGGGCTCTGGATTTACCGGTCACGTGTACCAAGGAATAAAAATATGAGTATACAGCTAGATTAATCTCCAGACCTGTAAAGCACCCCAACCCACCGTGCATGCAGCAGTCTCATTCAAACCCACATATGAATATTAGCACCATGCTTCAAAGCTACCACTATTACCATCCCCACAGTACATGAAGAAAAAATTAAATGCTACCTGCTTTACAACTCAGAAAGTATGGAGACACAATAACTAACTCCACTTCTCAGCTTTTCCATTTGTTCCATAAATGGAACATAAGTACTGATGTTCTTATTAATACATCGACAACCCATACCTCCCCCAGATATTTCTAAAAGGCGGGAATCACTTTCACTGCTCTTAATTTTAAATCAAAAGTCTTTAACGAGTCCAAGCGGTTTAGCTCACCATCAAGTTCAATAAATCAGAGAAACGAATCAATGGAAAGCATTGCAAAATGTAACCTTGGTAACGCACAAAATGCTTCCACAGAACTTACACTCATTTGCTTTATTTGCTGCTTTAGAAATTGGAATATAACACATAGGCAGAAGGACATTAGCATCACGACATTGCATCTCCTCACGAGCCTCACATGGCACGTGCTCTCCTAGAAGGCACTTTTCACAGTATGCTTTAAAAACCTGCAGCCTGGCAAGTTAGATGATTGAAAACTAATCACATTTCATGTTGACAAAATGGAAAATGGAAATGTTCAATAGAAAATAATAATCCATATTTACTCTTTATGCCCAAGCACAGCACTTTAAACATAATTTGGTCCATGCTTTCCACTGACAAAATAAGAATCAACTCAATGGTGATATACAGCATCTGTCTGAAGACTCAACATTTGTCAGTGTTACCACACAATTTTAACTGTGGTCCAACACAGTTCTCCTGCGTGCAACACTTAGATTGAAATGGCTATTACTCTACATACCATCCTGTAATATTTGTTGGCAAATACCCTTTTTTGAGTGGCAACATCATTATTCAACATTTATACGAGTCTACCAGGATAAACAACCACTGATTCATGTTGAGACAAAAAGATTCAAAATAGTTCAGTGCTCATCTCAGTATGCTATAACTAAGGTGTTTGCTGGTTCTTTAACCCAGCCTGATCTGAATTATCCCCACAGCTCAAAGTTCAAGCAGAAAAACCTTTGCTTTAGAATAGCCTCTCCTGGCAGCTGGGGAAGGCCAGGGCTGCAATGGAATTGGATCATTCTCCACTCTTTGCACATCTTCCCAGAATGCCAAGGACAGTCTGATTTTGAGTAAAGTTGCTAAACTTCTAAAGATTACACTCTCTAAACTTCTCAGTTTTCTTCCTGGTTGTTTTCTGAGTGAAAAAGAGCATTTCTTTCTCAGCTTCACTACCTCTTGCTGCTCATCTCCTACTTGAATTGAGGATGACCTTCCAAAAGTGGCAGTTGCCTGCTACAATGGCACCCAGCCATAAAATGCTGTTCAGTTTCACAAGTTAAATAAGCACCAGACGTAAAGTTCTGCTAAGGAAATAAAAATAAAAGCAGGTTTTTTATTCACAGGTTTCAAACCAACAACGGAACATTCACCATAATGATATTAATGAAGACTATTTCTAAGGCAAGTGCTCGCTTCATGGCTGCTCTTTTAGGGTTTTTTGCTTCGTGGTAAGCATCACAGGCCTGCACCAAACCATCAGCTGCTCCGAAAAGGTCACCAAAAAAGCAGAGTTCAAGGATGAACTAGTTTCCTTTTCAGCTCTACCTGAACCCTATCTGCTGTCACACATGGAAGTCTGGCCAAGCTGAAAACTGAGGCTCCCCTGGAGCCGTGCACACCACCACGTGAAGGCTGCCTCAAAAAAGCCAAAAAAACCAAAACAAGGAAGTTCTACTACATGTAATCCACCAGGTTACTTACAAGGCACAGCATGGCGATAAAGGTTGTCTCTAATAGTCTGCTGTAGATCGTGATCCGGCGATCCTTTCTGAAACCTCTGGTTGAGATAATGTCTCAGGTCTTTGTTCAGTCTGCTTCCTGCAAAGGAAAAAACAGCCATTTATTTATTTCTAAATGCACACAATTAACATTTCCAATTCAGACAAATGTTAGACTTCCATTCAGAGTCTCCTAAATTATGGCATGCTGACTTTATGAGCGGAGGCTCATCTTCCTCTACAAATGGCTAATTACCAAAAATAACTCGCTGTAAACAAGAGGTCTCTCTTGTCTCATAATGCATCTTTCTTCCTGTGGTGTTAAACAGATCATCATTCCCCTTTATCACTTATTTGTCTGAGCAAATGGAGAAAGACAGATGATGTGAAAAAGAAGAAAAATAATAAAGGTAGGGTATTGCTTTTGCAGCTCACTGGAGGGCGAGCTGGGCAGACAGACAGAAGGCAAAGGCGGCTCCCATTAGGAGCACTAATACAGCTGAACATGGCCCAGAACCGAACAAGTGCTGTACTTCGCCGTGGTATCTACCCCAGCACACAGCAGGAGTTGGGAAAGAATTTATCAGAGGAGTTAAGAGCACTCAAAGTCCTTAAAAACAACCAAATAATATCTAATGCTTTTCACTTAAATCTGTTTATTTCCCCATTCAGTTTTGAACACTTTCAGAAGCGTGTGAGCATAAAGATAAATGAGTTGCAAACAAACCAACCAACCAAAAGACAAAAACAAAGAAAAAGAAGCATAGCTGTTAATGAACATTGCTAGCTGCTGAACACCAAATCCTTCCTTGTAGCAGAACATGTGAACCGGAGCAACTTAATGAAGTCTGTTCCCAGAAATGAAATGTTTCCAAATCTGGAATAACATTGACATTAATTTGACTGAAGAGCAAAAACAAACCCACAAGAACATACAGAGAGCAGGGATAGAAACTCCTCTGTTCTAAAAATAAAATTTAAAAAAAAACCAAAAAACCCAAAACACTGGAAAAGCTCTAGAGAAATGCAACCAGGATGATCAAAGCCTGAAGCAGTTGCCATACAAGGACCGAGAGAGGGGGCTGGGATGCTGCAGGCTGTTGGAGACATTGGTCTCCAACATGCCCAGAGGGCAGGTAGTAGTTCACACCGGCTGCAGCAGATCTCCTTGCTGGAGAGCACTGTGGGTGCAAGAAGCTTATTGAGGAGCTTCAAGGAGACACTGGAAAAGCACTTGAAAGACGGACCCATCGGAGGTTGCAAAAGAGGGTGTAGGAAGTCCCTTGAGCTGAAAATTAATTGCTGGTGGCTGAGAGATCTGGGAAAATAATCGGGGCAATATCAAATACCTTCCTCTTTTCTTTTCCTTTGCTAGGCATCTTATTTATGGCTACAGCTGACGCCAGAACACTGGGCTACATGGACCTTGGGCTGAACCACTGCAGCTGTTTCTATGGTCTTTTATAATTTGCATTATGATTTTTTGGATTGTGAATATGTAACACAGAGGTCATCTCAATACTTGTTGACACTGAACATAGCATCACAGTTGCAGATTCCTGGCTGGAGCCTCTAGGAATCACTGCAGAACAAATCAAGAACAATAATACTGCCACGGATTGCAGTTGGGCAGCAGGGCTGGGAGGCAGTAGCGGTACCAGAGAAATGAGAAAAAGAGTGTAGACTATTAAAATGACCATGGGCAGGAACAGCCTATCTGCCTAATGCAGCCCTGCAACATTTTAACAGAAACGTTGGTTTAAAAACAAAACTAAACACAAAAAACTCTAGTCTGAAATATTAAGTCAAATTCTAAAAAACAAATAGGTGATTTGTATTTAGGTTCTCCAGACAGCTTTTTCTTTTTCTTTTTTTTTTTTTTTCTTAAAGATTAAAGTTCTTATTGAAGAAAGGAAGGCTTAGGCAGCAGGCCCAGCTATTAAATAAGGAAAAATTTTAAAGACCAAGATGCTCATTACAGAAATGGCTCCAACAACAAAACTGAAATTAAGGCAGGTAACACTGGCTCATCATACTTTACTGAGTTACCCCAGCAACACCCCTCACTCCAAGAACAGATTATCATTTCTAACAAATGGTCTCTGGTTATTACACTATAAAAATGGTTTCCCACACAGGAGGTACCTGGAGGGCTTGGTAGACCTGTGGGCTACCATTTTCCAGTTTCAGAGCTGACCTTCCAAACTCCAGATGTTTGATTTCATAGCACATCATTTTACTACAGAGGGAGACTGGGAACAAAAAAAAAAAAGCATCTGCTAATAAAGCATTTCTTTGTCTTTAACTAAACAGTCCATATTTTTCTTTGCACAAGATACAGTAAGATAAGGTGGTTTCACCTAGCAAAAATAACAAATATGACAATTTGGACATAATGTAATGGTTTACTCCAGTGAAGAAATTAATGCAATGAACTGCGCATATCGCATAACGTGGGCTTTCTCCTGAAATACCGCGTGATTCATGATTCAATGATTTATGTCACAATAATGTCTAGAGGTGAAAAAGCTCTGCTGAGCTAGGGCTTGTTTGACCACAGAAAATATGCAATTTACTGATGATATCTGCTTTTAGCTTCCCTCTGTGCCCGTTCCATCTAGCATCTCAGTCTATTACGGCCCCCGCTGGAAAGTTTGGTTATTTGGTTTATGCAGTAGCTGGGATTTCCCAGCTGAGTCACTGATGCACTAGCCAAGATGGCAGTTGCAAAAAATAGGGGCTACAGAAATATTTACATTCATATGATTGTCCCCTCAGGGAGCTCACAGCGATGCTCATTTCTATTACATTTATTTTAAATGGGTAGAAAAAAAGAAAAGAGGGGAAAAAAAAAACAAAACAAATGCTTGCTAAGCCACATTTTTGTTGCTAAATTCCAGAAAATTCTTGATGGAAATAAAGGCTTCTTGCAGCCCTGATGATCTCGGCTCAGCAGCCACTGAGACCACAGCTGTGGACAAAAGCAGGCTCACACCATGCAACTCACTCCAGCGCTTGGAAGAAGAAAATGAGCTAACACAGAAACTAACACCATGTAGAAAGCTGCTAAAAGGATTCACCATGGAATGGGTTGGATTTTTTACCATTTGAAATGTTTTGATCCACTCTCATTATCTTTTCCAAAAATCTCCTCAGAGGTGAGAGGGCACGAGCTTGATACCAGCATTATTCAGTAGATTCTGGTGCTAGACACAAGTTTATAAACTCTGATAAATTCTTTTTGAGCCTGAAATGTATGCACCTGCGATTCCTGAGAATCTGAAAGATATGCCAGTGACATTTCAGCAACCTCCTGCGTGCAAATTGTAGCAGTAAAATTCATTCTGACCCACAGGGGCACCCGTTGCACACGCACGCTCCCTCTGGAAATGAGTCTCACCCTCTGATGGCTTCTGTCCATAGACCAACGACCACCAGGGCTGGGTTGAAGGGCAGGTGCCCAGAACCACCCGATTTGGTGCAAGAGTCCTTCCTTTGTAAAGTCTAATTCCATGCATAAGTTGTGCTCATGAAAATACCTGGCTCCAGTCTCCTTCGAGATGAGCTGTGTTAACTAGAAGTATACTACTACCCTTCAAAGTACTCCTCTGTTCTCAAGGAGATTGGATCTTCCATTTACTCTTTTGAGATCCTTTCTTTTCTTCTCTGCTAAAAGCACGTGAAGAGATCCTACAGCGATAACAGTGCAGGAACAAGAGATCCGAGCCAGAAAGAGCGG